AGGGAAGTGGGGTACTTTCGTGTGATAACGGGACCCGGAAGTTCCGCAAGCTCGATTCCCTCCTTCAAGAAGAAGTCCTGTGTACGTGCTATGCATTCCTCGGCAAGGACGGTGTTGCGGACTTTGGGATGGTTGATCAGGTCATTCGTGACCAATGCGAGTCGAAGAAAGACATGCCGCCGCTGAACATTGAGGCTTTTCTCACCAGCCTGCACACGACACATTCGCACTTGCAGAAGGCAGTCCTCACAGAGTTGACATGCTCAGAAAATGTTTGGAAAGTACCCTGACGAGGATCGCCCAGCTTCTGCGCAAACCGAATGAATAGTTGATGTGTTCCGGCACACAGCCCATTTCAGCCTCCATGATGCTTGAAAAGGTTTTGCGCAGCATTCGTTTCGCTGAAGCGCTGGACCATGCGCACGAGTCGCGGTACTGTAGAAGTGCAGATTAGCCTGCAAGTCAGTTGTGCACTGTCTTGCGGGCCATGTGCACACCACGACGCAAGGAGTCACAAAATTGGTTTGCAGCCTCCATCTTGTATGGCTAGCCACCACAAGCGCGACGACGGCTCCTGCTCCCAAGTTTCGCCATTAAGATAGTGATGTGTCGGCTTCTTGCGCTGCGTTCGCTTAAGAGAGGCTCGCCAGGCCGAGACTGAGTAAAATGAGTAAAACAAAGCGGTTCTGATGTCGATGTTTTGGGGTGTAATAGTGTGACGACCTTGTTGATGTTGACCATGATGCTGCTGAGGCTGACGAGGGCTAATATGGCTTACTGATGCTTAATATGGAAGCCTAAATAAGCACCAATGTTGTTTCTTAGGGTTCCTTGTTGGAATAATACTATGAAGGAGCCCACAAACCTATTCTTATCATTAAGGCGCCTACATGACTTCATGTTGGTTTATCTTCTTGCCCGAGGCCGGGGCTCGAAAGGTGTACGCGGTGGAGGCTTCGGACATGGCCAGTGCAGCGAAGCAGGCCCTACAACCATTTTTGTTAACGGGCTGTCGACACCTCTTTGCAGATGACTCATTATGTTTCTTCTAGATGCTTGTAGAGGGACGTCGCACTTGCCACATGTGCGCGGCCCCCTGTTATCCTTGCAGGTTGTTGCTGCGAACGGGGTGGAAGAGGTGGTGGAAGTGATCCGGGGAATGGTCGAAACCATTGAGCTGCCAGAGCAGGCGGTTTTCTCTTGGAAGCTTCTGTGTTCGGTGTTTTACCACAGCTTGGCCACACAAGGTCCCTTCTATTGAGCACGGCGTTCTTGACAGGAGTATTGTCAGAATTTGTCAAATGCAGCATGGCTTCTTCATGACTGTGTCTTTGTGCTCACCACTTTTCCAGGTTTTGCATGGAACGTTTTTTGTGAGGTGTCGCCATGCCCAAGACTCATGTGCAGCCAGCTTTTACGTGACAGTTTCGTTTTCCCGACAGTGCTGCAGCAGAGCGTTTTCGTTGCAGCTTCGTTGCCACCCGATGTTTCCATTTTTCAATCGTAAATTTATTGAAACATGTTGTGCTTGGAACCGTTTCCTCGCATCCACGATCTTTCAGCGAATGTTTACGTGACAGATGTGCTGCAGCTATGCTGCAGAGCTTTTCTTCTGTGACAGTTTCGTTTCCCTGACGATTTGTCTATCTTCCCTGATGCAACAACTGTTTTCTTGGAAGTTTACTTGCATGGAGAATGCCTTTGGTCTTCCAGGGCAGCGCTCACTGCATGACTTCTAGCAGCTAGCAGGTAGACGTGATCATCTCGGAGTGGATGGGGAACTTCCTTCTGAAGGAGTCGATGTTGGACACGGTCTTGATCGCCAGGGATCGCTTCTTGAAGCCAGGCAGGCCCAAACCACACAGGGCAGGGATGGTGCGCAAGGTGGCAGGCGATTACTCGACATTGAATCGGAAAGAAGCCGAGGATGTTAACGAAGCAGCAGTGACACTCGAAAATGAGAACAACACAATCTAGGTATGATGTGGTTGATGCAGCGGCCTGTAGCCAACATTGATGGCCAGGTCCTTTTCAATCTGAGTGTTTTGCGTGATGAGTGTCATCGTGATGGATGTGCTGACATTGGTGGAACAAAGCCCACACACACACACAAGGGCACAAATGTACCTAATCATGTATCGCACCCTCGTCGGGTATTCTTCTTCACCTCTGAGAGTAGACATATCCGCAGACTGCTAGGGTTTTTTCAGCCTGGTTGGAGGGGGGCAAGGGGAATTACGGGAATCGCTGCACTCAGGAGGCTTGCTGTTCCCTTCTCATGCTCGGCTATTTCTAGCCCCCTGCGCTCACAGCTGCTTTACTGAGCGCTGGCAGAGCTATGTGGACGAGCTTTGGGTGCTCCGGCTCTTGGTTTGTCGATTTTGGGCTTCTTCAATTTGGGGAGCTCACTGTCATAAGGATCCAGGTGTTCATGACCCGGAAAAGGCCCCCCCACCCCTGGTTTTGTGAACCTCGCCTTAGTCCATTGCCCGAGGGTGTCTTTCAGGACTTCGAAGTCCGAGGCTTGGCGCAGCTTTGTGCAGCACATGCACGTCAGCTTCGGTCGGGTCCTTGGATTTGACCTGTCCCTTGTCACTGACGGCAAAGACCGAGCGAAGGCCTGTTGGTTCGGTTTTGATGTGTCCCCTGAGTCTTACAGCGTTGAAGGCCGCGTTGAAGCTGCGATTTGTCCGAGGATTGAGCTATGGAGCCTTGAGCACGCAGCAGGAGAAGGAGGTGTGTAGCGCATAGGAAATTTCATGCTGGCAACGAATTTCACCGGCCAGGCGAGCGAGCACCACCTTCAAAGCTGGGACTGGGTGCATCTGAACAACTCCCACTTGCGTGGCCCTCCCGTGCAGCTGCTGGCGCTGGACCTGTCGACTTTGCCGCTCTCGAGGTGCGAGGCGTAATCAAGCTCGCACGTTCTTCTGACAAACCTGTAAATGTTTTCTGACCTCAGGCTACAGAGCCTGCATGAGCAGGCTTTCGCGGCTTGCCTGCGACATGCCGCAGACTGCAGGTGTTTTGCCGCCTCCTGCCTGCTACCCCCCCCCCCCCCCCCCCATGCAGCTCAGGACATTGTCCTGCCCATCACACAGGACGGTACTGCCCCTTAGACGCAACTCTCTCTCTCTCTCGATTCGGGGCTCATGAATGGAGCGACTTTCCCGGATATCACCGAGGTCGGCGGCCTCTGTGGCTTCTTCGACATTTCCTTTCACACCTCGAGTTCCGGGGAGTCCTGCGTCAATCTGAGCACAAGCCCCTTCAGCAAGGCCCAGGGGTCCACCAAGAAAGAGCGGTTGTACGTCGGACGTCGAGCGGTTGCAAGCTCGAGGCAACCCATTGGGGGCAGCAGCTCTTCGGCTTCTTCCCCGAGGACTCTTGGGGGAAAAGCCTGGGCAAAAATATCCGTACTTCGGTTGAATCGGTTGAGCCTTGGAGCCTGGGCCGAGTCCGTTGATCTCTTTGGTCCACCAGCACAGCTGGGCCTCGCCGTGCTGAAGGGCGACGAGCTGTGTGGGAGGTCCGTGAGAACAGTGGGTGGCGACAAGCGTGCCAGAGTCTGAGTGTGAGCCCAGGTGGCGCCTGGGACGAGTGGCGCAAACTCGAGACTTTAGACTCGAGGTGTCCGCCCCAAGCCCCAAGCTGCTGTGCGAGAGAGTCGAAATCATCTCGAACCCCTCGCTCCTTTCGGCGTGATTCATCAGGTCGAGCTGAACCACACTTCCGCCAAGGGTCGCCAAGCGGCAGCAAGCCTTTGGGAGCCGAGATAGCGGCTAGCGAACCGAGGTTTGCTGGGCTCCTACCACGAAGCCTGGTACGTCTGAGCTCCGATGCTGGCCGTTACTAGGTTACTAGCCCCAGCTCAGTGCAGAAGCCCCGACCTCGGAGCTTGGACCACGAGGTGCCCGGCCGGCTGCGGGGTCCAAGCTCCAGACGTTGCGATAGAGATCCTAGAGAGCTGCTTGGAGAGAAGCGCCATCTCGCCTCGGCCGACCAGTCGAAAACTTGCGTCACCACCTGCACGACCTGCGCCTTCACTGATTTTGGGCAAATCCTTGAGCTCACGGCTGGTGCTGAGGAGTGATGACTCGTGGTACGTCCGGACGTTGGCCACAGAGCTGGTCCACGAGTGCGACGCACAGATTTGCACTAGCTCCTGAGTCCTGGAGAGAGCTTGTCCTGCTGCTACCGCTCACTACAACAACAACTACGACTACTGCTGCTATTCTCCTACTACTACACCTAACCTCTCCGGGAGAACGTGTCGTGTGCGCCGAATGTTGGTCCTATGGCTTTACCCAGTAGCTCCTGCTTCACGGAGGCTGGGTCCGCTGGGTGCGGAGAGCAGCCAGCCGGTGTTGTCCAAGGCAGACTCATGAAGCTGACGATCGGGGTTCATTGGGGGGTGTTGGGTGTTTTTAGGGCCTTTAGGAAGTTTAGCGTCTAGCGGGCTTCTGGCTCTGAAGTATAAGTTTGAGTTGAGCTCGCCCTTCCCGGAGCTCTCCTTGGCCAGCCCGGAGCGCTCCGCTAGATATAGAACAAGTCATTAAACTTTGCAAGAAGCCAGCGGTGGTTGCAGTCGCTTGGGAAGGTCGGTGTGCATGTGCGCATCACTAGGAAAGCTGTGCCCGGGATCTGCGGGTGTTCTATTTTTAAAGATGCCTGTTGACAGAGCCCGATGTGCAATGGCCTCATACCCGTACCCCCAAACCCGATCCTGATGAAGGCCACCAAAAACCCTACACTTCGGACGTCGTGAAGCCATGACCGGCTTGTGTTTATTGTGTGTGTGAGTCGAAAACAAAACCCTGGTGGCCTTTGAGACGTCCCTTCTTTTCACGCCGACGGCGCCCGAAAGAAGACCTCGCCTCCCCATCGCCTCTCAGGCGCTGCACAGCCTGGATCAGGAGGTGCGCAGGAACGCGGCGCTGGCGCTGGGCAAGCAGGCCAAGGCTGGAGCGCTGAGTGGTCTTCGCAGTCGTCTTCGCAGTCTAGGCCCAGGCCCAGGCTACTCTATGAGGCTTGTCTAGGCTAGTCGCTCTAAGGTGGCAGGCGCGCTGTATGTTCACTGGTGATCTGGGTTGCCTTAACGTTGATTTTACGTGGCAGTCGTGGCACTTTAAATGATTTTAAGCTATTTTCCGGTCCTTGAAAAATTAGTCATGCCAGCGGCTTTCGCAAAACCCAAACTGCAGCGTTTTGATGAAAGTTTGCGACACATGTCCGTTTACACCCTCTCCACCTCCACCACCCCAAACCCCCCACCCCCAAAACCCCGAAGCAAGGGGGCAAACAAGCCAACACTGCAGCGTTTTTCATGAGAGTTCTCGACACATGTCCGTTATTAGCAAGAAAAACCCTCGAAAAGCAAGGAGAACGCCAGGGAAGATAAGGCGCGTCGGCCAACTATAAGGGCATGCTAAAGGGGGAGTGGGGGAGTTACAAGGGTACACAAGGGAAATAAAACGGTACTATAGTAGCTATAGTATACCTATACCGGTGCAAGATGGTGCAAGTGCAGCGAAGGTCGCATCAAAGCATGCCGGGGCCCTGTGCACACGGATGTTGGGGAACCGCCCTGGCGTCACAAGCCTCCCGGCGGCATTGGCTTTTGAAATGCCGTGAAGAGTTGTGCCTGCTTGGGAGCCTGAGCCGCTAAAGCCCTGGATTCGACGAAGGCGATGACCCGGATGCTGACCTGAGACTCGTCCTCAGTTTGCCTTCCGCGGCCGCGGAGACCTCGGAGACCACCTAGTAACTGTCCTCTCCGAAACAGGCGAGCGGCTTGAGGTTCGCACGGCATGCATGCTGCCGCCTCGGAGGGCTTTACTCCGAGGGACGCTCCTGTCTGGGCGCGCTCTTCTCTGCTCAAGGTGGGCTCTGGGGCAGCTGGAGCCGGAGGCTGCCGGGCACTCAAGGAGCTCCGTTGCAACCTCGGGCCAGATCCGGAGTTGCGCGTAATTGAGGTGATGCCACACATCCATAACCTCGACGATGGTCTTTTCCACCGGAACCCGAGGAGGGCTCAGGGCCAGGGCGAGTCTGAGATCTGTACGCGGGCGTCTGAAATCCGAAGCTCAGATATCGGCTCGTCGCGACGCAAGCTCTCGCCAACCTCGGGCCGAAGGCGATTCAAACCCGGAAGGCCTGCATCCTCAGAAGCAGTGGAAGCAATCCTGCTTGATGCTGGTTGCACCACCTGCGCTAGGACCACCTGATGGTGATGGAGTCCACCGATAGGGACGACGATGTGTGGTGCCTAGGGCCTATAGGGCTAATCATACAGATGTTGACCGACATATGCATGCTGTTGACGGTGCATCCTTACACTCATGAATGATGAATGTGCGTGATTGCGCATGTGAATGTGCGAGTGCAAGCATGTGAGTTCATGTAGGCAGCATGGTGTCTGCATGTGGCTCAACAAGCAGGCGTGTTTCAATACCATGTCCGGTAGACAGCAAGCTGTTCTTAGGGTTTTGGCAAGCCGAGAAAGCATAGATGATGTACATAGCTTGGTATACATGTAATACATACGTACATACAGACATCCTTTCATAACTACATGCTTATACATACGTACATTACTTACATATGTACATACGTACGACCAGACAGACAGACAGACAGACAGACAGACAGACAGACAGACAGACAGACAGACAGCCAGACATACCTACATACCTACATACATACATACATACATACATACATACATACATACATACATACGCACATACGTGCGTACTTACGCACACACAGACATGGAAGAATGAAAGAAAGATACATAGATAGTTATACAGATAGATATACATACACACATACATACATACATACATACATACATACATACATACATACATACATACATCCATACCATACCATACCATACCATACCATACCATACCATACCATCCATCCATCCATCCATCCATCCATGCATGCATGCATGCATGCATGCATGCATGCATACATACATACATACATACATGCACGCATGCATGCATGCATGCATGCATGCATACACGCGCAGCTCATCCAGGTGGTGATTGATTCTTGTCGAAGCCTTGCTGTACAGAAAGGCTTTATGCGCTGACAGGAATGGCGTATGTGCCACACGACACTGTAGGATACGTCGAGCTCAAACGAAGTCATCGAGCCCGCCGCATAGTCCGCAGCATTGCATGCGCTTGTGCATTGCAGCATTTGCTCCTTATCAAATACAATATTGGCCCACGGGTCTTTTCTCCGGAGTTCGAACTCTAATGTCATCCCTGCGGTGCGACTTGTCAGCTNNNTCAGCTGGGCGGGTGGGAAAAAATACAATATTTCCTTGCAGTCTGTCTAGCTTTACGCTCCTGCTGCACTAGCTGCGTGACGTGTGACCAGAGTGCGCCCAACTCCATGCACACACACACACACACAC